AAATAATAAATTAAAATTAAAATTAAAATTAAAATTAAAATTAAAATTAAAATTAAAATTAAAATTAAAATTAAAATTAAAATTAAAATTAAAATTAAAATTAAAATTAAAATTAAAATTAAAATTAAAATTAAAATTAAAATTAAAATTAAAATTAAAATTAAAATTAAAATTAAAATTAAAATTAAAATTAAAATTAAAATTAAAATTAAAATTAAAATTAAAATTAAAATTAAAATTAAAATTAAAATTAAAATTAAAATTAAAATTAAAATTAAAATTAAAATTAAAATTAAAATTAAAATTAAAATTAAAATTAAAATTAAAATTAAAATTAAAATTAAAATTAAAATTAAAATTAAAATTAAAATTAAAATTAAAATTAAAATTAAAATTAAAATTAAAATTAAAATTAAAATTAAAATTAAAATTAAAATTAAAATTAAAATTAAAATTAAAATTAAAATTAAAATTAAAATTAAAATTAAAATTAAAATTAAAATTAAAATTAAAATTAAAATTAAAATTTAAATTTAAATTTAAATTTAAATTTAAATTTAAATTTAAATTTAAATTTAAATTTAAATTTAAATTTAAATTTAAATTTAAATTTAAATTTAAATTAAAATTAAAATTAATTAAAATCAAAATCAAAATAAATTATATTCCACTTACAGTGCATGTAATTTTTATTTGCTAATCACCGCCATGCACGTTCTCAAGTACATCACTAGATGTCGCGCCCTTCGTCGATTATCGCGAACTGCTTAACCCACCCCGAGTAAAAAAAAAACTAGTCAAAAAAGTGTCAAACCTTCAAGTGGTTTTTTCAACTTCGCTCCTCAAAAGGATAACGCACACCTAACATGGGATTTTTGGGCTCTATGGATTTTGTCCATTTTTTGATATGTTGTAGAGGATTTAATTCTGAACAACCTTTAAATGGGACGAAATCTTGTAGGTACTACGGTCTTTGAGATATGAGCGTTGAAAGATGAATTTTTTTGCAACTTTTTGTGTGGAGAGTATACGAAAAACTGGTGTTTTTCAGTCAAAATATTGACAGGTTGACATATTTCACGTCACTAATAAATGTCAACATAGGCTAAGGCCGAGGCCCGAGACCGCACTGGCGCCAACATCGACCCCAGTGCGGTCCCGGCCTTAAACTATGTTGACATTGATTTGTGAGTGACGTAAAATATGTGAACCTGTCAATATTCTGACTAATAAACACCAGTAGCACCAGTATCTCGTATACTCTCCACACAAAAAGTTGCAAAAACGTTCCTGTTTCAACGCTCATATCTCAAAGTACCTACAAGATTTCGTCCCATTTAAAGGTTGTTCAGAATTAAATCCTCTACAACATATCAAAAAATGGACAAAATCCATAGAGCCCAAAAATCCCATGTTAGGTGTGCGTTATCCTTTATGATTTTTGAATTGTTTGAATTAGTTTTTGACTAATTTATCAAGTGCTACTCTCAATTTCATACTTAACTTTGTATGTTAGCAGATAGTTAGAAGTTACGACCAGTTTTTGGATTATTTCTCTCAGTGGGACTAGGAGGAGGGTAAGTTCGTTTCATGCGAGTTGTTTCGCAACGAAAACACAACACTGGACATCCCCTCTAGGTTGTATTTTGTACTTTTCATTGGAATAATACCTTTTTTTCAAAATAAAACAATGGTAAAAGAAAAATCTGATTCCCTAGTAGCTTGCAGCTTTGCAGTTAAATGGCGCCAGTTTTGTTTGGAGTTTATTTCTCTCTCAAATAAAGCGCAATTAATTGGAACGGGCCAATAATAATTACAACCATGCCAGGGCTCAGTTATTTTTTTTATTTATATTTATTTATTTATTTAACAGTCAAATTATTTTATAATAATTCTTGTTTGGCATTCTGTCAATTCCTTAACTGGCGGCCATCTTGTTGACAATCTTATTTTGTTTTGTAAAGTTTTATAGTTTTTCGGGTGATTTCATTGCGGATAAATGTTTAAAAGTCGTTCTCGGGGTGTTAAGGAGTTTATTTGATTGAGAGTTCATACAGAGTGATTAGTGCGCAGCTAGGTACTTCAGCGCTTGCGGCTTAAGGTGGCACTGGATTCAAATTTCTGATTTTTTTTTCTTCAAGTTTTTCATAATGGATGGAAAAAATGAGCCATGGTCTGACGACGAGAGAAATCTCTTGTGGCTTTTGTCACACGAATACGGTTTATCAGTGTCTGCAGCTAAAAACATGGAATCAAATCAAGACCAAAGACGAAAGATTCGCTCCACTGTCAAAGCGATCGCCCGACGCTTGTAAAACGGAGCTAAAATATCTCTTCGGTTCCCGAGTATTTCTCAAAGCTGCAAAAGTGGAATATGCTAAGTTCTATGTCTACGAGCGACTGGCACATGGCAAAAGAAAAAGTATGTATTTTCTGTGTGTTATCTTATGCCGAATTTCAGCATTTAATCAGCCTATAGCCACTATAGCAGTTATTCATGTTTACAGGAAAAATCGTTGCACCGAAAAAGCACCATAAGTCTTCTGAGTCTGACTATAAAGCTATTGAACCCACCGCATCAGACGTTACCGAAATTGAACCCGAGTTGGAAACGGAGGAAGTTTTTGAAGAGGTAAAATAATTCGAAAGAAAAATTCCTGTTTCGATTACCCACCTGTTTACATATTGCATAGCATACCATACCGCACAAAAATCTCTCAAAGACGGTTTGTATAATGCATAATTGCCCAAGTCATAATCATTGCCAATCACAGGTCACTCCAAATCAGTTTGCCATTTTTGTTTAACAAAAGAATTTCAATAATAGTCTTTCAACTTTCCAGAACGTGTTCGGACCTACCACCGCAAGTGATGATTCCGACGTAAATGATTACCCAGAAAATGCCGATTTACATGTCGAAGAAGGCGTTTCGTATGAATCGAATTCATCAGACTCTGAATTCCAAGTGGCAACAGCGCCATCTTTTCCAGAACCTGACATGTTGGACATGAGAGAGCCGTACACTTTAAAAAACCTCACAGACGGAGTGTCATACACTTGCGATATCGACTCAATCATCGGTCGTAACAAACCGACTTTCGCAACATTGCGTAGATTTAACGATGACATTTAGCGTTGACGCTCGACGTGCTTACCCTACTAAAAACCTTAAAATAGTTAACAACCTCCTGGGTCATGAGGAATCCAAATGGTTTGAATTCAAATTAGGTTTAATAAATAGCGGGAATTACCTGAACGTTTTATTTCAAAGGGATCGAGAGACAAACATTGGCGAAGCCAGAAAAATTTTCATCATCCGATTTTTGCAAAGAGCAATAAATAGTTTGCCATCAAATTCGAAGACGTCTGTTCATGGAAGCGGCCTCAGAGGTTGGGGCAATAAAAAAAGGTGCGTCATCTACGGCAGCGATTGGCCACTGATTGCGAAACGTTTAGACAGTCTAATGGAATCAGAAGAGGGGATGAAAATTTTACACTTCAGGCATGTCCACTTCTACCAGGCACGCCATGGTATGCTACTTGAAGACGCTAATAGAGCCAGCAGTATGGTGAGAAGTATGATTTCCAGTGTTTCAAATGAAAATGTAATTGGCATCCAGGCCCACAAAGCAATAACCATCAAAGCTGACGACGGTGGTGCTGTATTTGTCTCTCACAAGGCTTTGCGAAAGCACGTAAATTGGAAATCCCTGAATATGCCAGAACCAGCATACCTGGCCGGTCATGGTCATTTCTATGGAAATTTGCGGGGCTACCGAAACGTCAGTTACATACAATCATACGATCCTGAGGCACATTTGTATATAGATAGAGAATACGTTGACGCCGCTACGTATCTCATTGGCCGCGGTCTGACCAAATGTACAAAACGTTTACTGAGCATCATTAAAGCTCGAACAGGAAGCTATCTTGTGAGTATTGTACATGCGTTGGAAATACTGCAACAATTTGGACATAGGTCGAGGTTGGAAGTTGTGGAAACATTCAGGAACGTTGAAGATTTCTTTGACACCTACTCCAGCCACGAAAAGTTTGTCAAAAGTTGCGAAATTGTGGCCAGAGATTTCATCGACCAGTGCGCTATTGTCAAATTCACCAGAGAAGAATGGCTGACACATCTGGAAGCCACTGAAATCATGCAGGAAGTTGAAGTTGTTAGGAAAACCGTAAAAGCCTTCGACGCTATTGATGACAGTATGACGGATTGGCCACAACAACACAACAAAAATAGTAGCAAGTTGAACAGCAGTCAGGACAGTGACGAACAAGGTGACGAAGAAACCGAAGGAGATAGTGATGATACTGAAGCCGACGAAGTACATTTTGGGTGCGCAAAAGCAAGAGACGAGACGTATTATGCGCCAAAGGCTTATTGGAAACAACTTTGCAGGCAACGTTTCAAAAATCAAAAAACTTTTGACCCGAACACTCCCCCTTGTTTGACACGCGAGAACGTGCTAATCGTTTATGCGGCTGTTCAAAAAATTTTATTCTTTTTAAACGGCGACGTCGGAAAAAATAAAAAAATTGATAAAGACTTTTTAAATCTAATGCGAGACTCTACGACCCGCAGATCGGCGACTCTCAAAACGGCTAGAAAAAAAACCTTTAAAAACGGTCGCGCGAGATAGCGAAAACGGCCAGTTATTTTTTTCTAAAAATCGCGAGAATCGAAAATTCTTCGGAAAACCCCTAATGTACAAGTGCTTATTGCCGACTACAGATATACTACAAGGTACTGACCACCGATACAAGAATAGTTAGATTAACGAACGTCGCGCTTTCCATCCCAAAACAAGCAATTGAAGTGAGAGTGACTGGCATGGTCCTCAATGAGATCTACATGGTAACAATAATAATAAACAGTGTCAATCGCATGAAAAGTGTTTGTGATAAAAGCTCAGAAAAGCTCTTGAAAGAGTGAAATTCATTGAATTACTCCACAATTCATGATAGATTTGAGAGAATCATTAAGAAAATGCAGAAAATAACTTCAATAGATGACAGATCAATAAATAATAATGTAAGTATTAATTTTCCTCGCTGCACTTTTATTGAAATATTTTTTCTCGTGAAATTTTTTCTTTTAGAAAGAACGATGTCGAGATTTTTCACCGAACCACGATCTAGGCAAAGGTTTCGTGGAACGTTACAAGGCCTCTGCGCCTTTCCACCTATTTTACACAGGCTTCGAACCATCGCAAGACGCCAACGATCGTTCGCTTGCTATAAATCTTGGAGATTTAATCCACGTTGTCATGGGCACGATTGAACATAGTTTACACGTGACTTACTCTTGTAGCGTCGATTGGCTTATTTCAATGTACAAAGGTGCCCACCAAAATACACGCATGACTATCATTGCTCAAAAATTTGAGACTTGCAATTCACGCATCATTCCAAAAAATGTGAATATTTACCATATTTCGATGCCAGGACGTTATAGCTCGGCGCATGCTAAATTTTCTATATTTATCTATTCGAGTGGCAAAATGAGGATTATTGTCACCTCGGCCAATTTTCAAGAATCGGATTGGTTGAAATTTGCAAATGGGTAAGTCAGTTGGTGAATTCGATCATACAGATTAGAAAGCGATCCATAGCCTGTAAAACTAGTAAAACTACAATCAATAATTGAATTTTTTTCCTCTATAGAGTTTGGGTGTCGCCATTATTACCACGATTACCACCCCATGCTTCCAAAATGGATGACGAATCAAGGACTAATTTCAAGTCAAATTTATTGGCTTTCCTTAAAGAATATGGCAAATACGTCGAAAACATGGGAGTGAATTCCAGAAATCCATCGAACTGTATGATTTTGCAGCAATCAGCGTTTTTTTTGTGGGTTCGATTCCAGGACTTCACGCGGACCATTCCTGGGGACTCGACAAGCTTGGCAGTATTCTGGAAGGCCACTGTCCGAATCAATTTTCGATCGACCATAGCACGAGTCTACTAGTCGCTCAATCGTCGACGATTGGGAGTCTGGGATCGGAATCACAGAACTGGCACTTTTTAATGTTATGTATTTTGCAAATATAAATGTTTTCAAAAAGTCGAGTTTAAGTCCATATTTGAAGCGGATCATTTAAAAATACATTGAAATTTATTTTTAAGGTTTTCCTAACAAAATGCTTTCACCAAACTATCAGGGATTATACTATAATAATTATGAATACCTTTAGTAAACTGGTACGCCTTTTTCTATTGTGCTACGATAAGTTTATCATTTACGTAACATGTTCCATCTCTTTTTATCTTCATTATAAAGTTGTATTTTTTCCATTTCAGTATTCAGAATAATTTGTAATATTCTAAAAATATCCACAAAATTCAAATAATACAAGTGCTGCCATCTATCCATCATGTCTGTAAAGTGCAAATATCTTACCACTGCAGCGATCTAGTGCCCGTTTTTCAACGTATGATTTTTAATTATTTTACATTAGACAGTTATATTTGTGTTTTCATTTAAAGAAATTATATTTATCTCACTTTTAGCAAATGAATATATTTCTGTCTTTTTCTAACTTCTGATTCCGAAATAGTCATTTTTTGGCGACCTAATTAATTGACAGTTTTTTATTTTTGACATAACCTATAAATTTTTATAAATATATTTTATCCTGTATTCACAAAATTTACATACATATTATCTAATTTGGATAAAAAAAAATAATTTTGAATAAATCCCAAACACCGAAAATTAAAAAAAAGAAAGAAGAAGCTCTAAAGGAATTATATGTGACGAATATAACAAAATTTTTAAGAATAACATAACTCCAAAACAACTAGTCAAAAAAATTAGTAATATGAAAAACGAAGTATGAAAAAAAAATTGATATTAATGAAACGGGAAACAAACCAATAATAATGAAGTCATGGGAAAAAATGCTCCTGGAAATACTGGATGTTGTTCATAATCCTATTTTCAAAACAACACCTAGTAAGCCAAAATATAATATAACTTTTAACTCGCAAATTTATATATTGTTTTGTTTTAGATGCTTTAAGCATAGGAACAACATCTGATAGACAAAAACTAACAAGTTCCTTAAGCTCTACACCATCTACAATCTACATCCTCGGATGTTATTCCCCCAGCTCCTGTGTTCCCAACGGCGCCAATCCCAAAGAAGAAAAGCAAAGTTAATTTACCTGAAACCAAAGAAACAAAAAACTAAAGTAATTCAGAGTTACAACGCCTGAACAACTGAAACTTGTTCGACTGCAACAAGAGCAAATATTGAAAAGTTCTACTCCAGATGTTGTGATGTCTGAGCAAGGAACTACCTTATTAAATTTGTAATTTCCATACTTGAAAATATATTTTTTATGAAAAACTTGTTATTTTTAGTCTCCCCAAACAATCTAGTCAAATAGCTATTTTCCTAACGAGTGCGGGAAGAGAAATTTCCGGCACGAGGGTGTGAAGCGCCCGAGTGCCGAAAATTTCTTCCCGCAAGAGTTAGGAACTATATTTTTTCTACGAGCATACTAAAGCTGATGTTACGAACAGTTTAATTTAAATAAAATGCGATTATGCAGAAGGTAGAATTAAAAATGTATTGAAAGGTATTCATAAAAAGGTAAAGGTACAGGTATAGGTGTATCAACAATACAAACAATTCCATGTCACAATGATTATTTCAAACTCTTCCCGCACAGCAAATCATGCGGGAAGAGCCATTTCCCGCACGCTCGTAGAAAAAGTAAATTTTGTTTTAAATCATATGGGTTACTAGGTAGGTACTAAGGTACTTAATAAAATAATATTTATTTTGTGAACATCCATTAGTTGGTGTCTATTATCTCCTTGACGTTTACTTCTTCTTTCTCTAGGTAGGATATCACAGCACTTTTTGTTGTCGATGGTGGGCCTGTAGGAAACCGTCCGTAAAGAGTACGATGAACCTGCTTGTCGTATTCGTGGATCCACTGGGATCTACTTGGAATTATGGATTTGTCAGACAAAAGGTCTGTTACGTCCACATGCATGTCGAAGGTTAAACACTCCTTCAACTCTATCCCTTGGAATTCCTGTGAGGTCCAAGGATATCTAGGATCCTCGTTCCATGTATTCGACTTAATGTTGTCGATGACCCGCCTGGATGTGTGTCTTGAGTAAGATAAAGGAGGCCAATTGCGCTTCTCTTTGAAGAAGTTCTTGCAGAACGTCATACAAAACATTCTCTTTATCCTTTGGCCAGCCTGCTCCAGGTCTGTTTTTAAGATTGCACCAGTTTGAATCCAGTTCTTCACACTTAGGTCCATATCTATGATAGGGTGACCAAAGCATTTCCACAATCCGCTCATTTCCAGCTGCAAATGAACTGCTGCTGTGGTCGGCAAGGGCCGAGTGAGCCACTTGTAGAGATCAGTATGTGTGATTGGAGCAAGATCCTTTTCGAGACTGTCGAGAAATCGAGTGTCTTGCTCCTGGCAGCGCAGTGTGGAGGCTATGGCTAGTGAGGGCCAACTCTTGAGTACAGAGGATGCGTGCTCCTGATAGAGGTCGAAGCCTTCGTATTTGCTCTTGTTGATGTGGGCATACAGAAGTACATCAAACCAGGAATTGAACATGTCCCTGATCCCTGCGAGATGAGAGTGGGTGATGATCAGTGCCTCTGTTGCCGTAATGTCTATCATGTGTAAGTTTCCATATGCACAACCTTTAAGGCCTCCCAATCTCCAGGGTTGCTTGAACTCACTGCTGTACACTATGGTGTCAAAGAGGTTGTCGAATTCTGTCTTTATGTTGTAGATTGCCGACAAGAGCGGCACTGTTGAGACAGGGTAGGTGGCCTTGATGTTCGTGTAGTCCTCGAGACTGATTTCCATCACTCGTGTGGCAATGGCTAACAAGCTGTTTAATTCAGGGGTGTGGTTGTGGGTGTATAACCGAGTGGTGTTGTCCATAAACCAGCTATATGCATACTGTGGGTGAATTATGTGCCTGTTGGATAGATCGTCCAAAAGTTGGGTATGTTCCCTTTTCAGGGCCTTTGGGTTGGTTCTATGGGTCATCATGTACTGGATTTCACTTATGACTAGTGCAGAGGCCAGATGCCTGTCTTTTCTGAAGATTACTGTGGGTACGCGTGTCACACCTTCTAGCCCCTCCATTGTGGTTTTTCTTATTTGTTGGTTATACATATACATATTTTATTTTTAATCTGGTCAAAATCTGTATTGGGTGAGAAATATTTCATGATTTTCATTTAGCAACATTATGAAGTAAAAAGCAGCTTGATACAATTGATGGAATCTTTTCCAATGTACTTCTGATCTTGTACTGGGGAACTGGAAATCTTGCTTTTACTTGACCAAAACAACGTTCTATAATAACTTGTTCTCTACATGCTGCTCTGACGTGACAGGATTTCTCCGTGGAATCATTAACCTAGGTGTTATTCCATATCCCTCATCACCTAAAAGTAAGCATTCTTCGGCAGAGTTTTCGAGAACAATATAAATGCTTGAATTTTTCAAAATTCTATTATCATGAACGGATCCGGGCCATATTGACAATCTACACTAGTGAAAAATTATTCTTCGGCGTTGCATGTAGCTTGCACATTGATGCTTGAAAAGCCTTTTCTATTACCTAACGTATTCATTCCCATATAACTCAAATTTAGGAATTCTGACATAGGTGCAATCTATAACTCTTATTGCATTTGGAAATGTATACTTTTCTGACCATTGCCGTTTTGCATCATTTATTTCAGCAATACTTTCTGGAAATTTAATCCATTCATGAGACCTTCTCAGGATGCAATTCATATAACACTATCGTTGATCTTGGAAACTGTGGATTGGTGTATTTCAATTTCCTCCGCTACTGAGTTTTGATATCCTGGATCTGCTAGAGATCGCAAAAACACTTTCATTTTAGTTAGCGGTTAAAGTGCTCCTCCACGTCTTTCGCCAGTATCAGCTAAAAAATGATTAGCCAACCATTCCACATTTGCTTTATTAAACCTATAAAGTTTTTTAAAATCGCACTCTTGACAATTTCTTCCCACATAATACCTACACTTTCTTTTTTCGTAAATAGATGCATTCTGCCATTTTGTAGAAGGTAAGCAAACACTTGCACACTGCATAAACCCTATAGCAACTGAAACTTATTTTAAGTAAGGTCTAGGGCATCCTTAACTATCTTAAGCGATTGCTTTAAAAATTAAGCAAAAGCTAATTTTATCCACACGGTTTCTAGCAAAACCTTGTTTATTTTAAGCAAAAGCTGTATCTCCTAGCATTTGCTTGTGCTCTAAGCAATCACTTAGAGCTCTAGCATTTGCTTACCAGTTTATTCATATAATATGAAGCAATTTCTCCACAAACATAAGAAAAAGCAATGGCTTATGTTTTATTCATCAGGCTCAATATACCTAGAATCCAGAATTTCTTGAACTCGATCTAGTTCGACATCACAAATTTTATAGTCATTTAAAATAGGATTTTGACTGCGACAGAATTGGAATTTACCAATATTTAGTGACAGCCTATTATCTTCACAGAAAGATAGGATTTTATCTACATCCCTCTGTAAAAGTATTGCATCATTTTCGTTTTCAATAATTTTGAACATCTTTAGACCATCTGCATATAGTAAGAACTCTGAACTACCTACACACATGTGGGTAGTTCACTTGTTGATTTAATGGAAATTTCAGATGATTTTTTGTATCTTTAGAATCTTTGCTTTAGTGAGAATAAAGAAAAATATCCTGACAGTTTGAAGTGCTCTATTCGAAATGCAAAAGGGTTGAATATCGATTATGAGGTTAAATACATATATAAACTATTACATAGATGATAGATGGCGATGAAAAAAAAATTATTCTTTGTATTAAATCTTTTATTATTCATTCGAATATAAGGTAACCGAAATTGTCTAGATAAAAATATATACATAGATACGACCGGTGGAAAATGCTTTTATTTCCTTGGAATTTTGAATATTCGATATTGATGCTCATCTCCGGTTAGCGCTATATGCATCAACGTTTTCGTTTAAGAAAGAGCACTATTTTCCTTGCGTAATAATATGTGAATAGCTATTTCATTATTTATATTCTAAGCTACGAGCGCTGGCTGAAATAGCTGCCGGCACAGTTGATGACGTTTACAGTGCATGACGTCGGCACCGGATGTGCGTTTTGCGCGGATTATCGTTGAGTGTACTGTTCGTTCCTGCTAGGTGTCGCTAGTTCGGCACGGATTTCTTCGAATGACATGCGCCGCTTTATGAGAGGGGATATCGGACGGGATCATTTTCCCGCGTTTCTTCTCCTTTCTGGAAAGCGACCATTTTCTTAACTTTCATTGCTTTTCGATATATTGTGCAATAAAGATCTATCGTCTAACGACAATTTTAAATTGTAGTTTTTTCGAATTTTCTGCTTGCAAAATATTTTCTAAAACCAATTCCAATACGATTCTTGTCGTGGTTTTGTGAATTATCATTTTTCACGAGTGCTTCGACATCCTACGAATTATTTACTAACTACTAACTGTACTTATCTATCTTATTGAATCAACTGAATCAATTATTAACTGTGATACTGCGACAGTATTCCTTCCTTGTGTGAGAAGCTGCGTCTTTGTAGTTCACACTGGGACTCATTTTCATTGGTGCGGATTGACTGTTGATTGTGGAGGCATTTGAAGGTATGTATGGTTTTAATTTTTTCTACCCAAAAAAATCTTTTCCCAAATTTTTTTTCCATTACCCATAATTAAATTAGGGGGCCCCCTTTTTGGGGGGCAAAGCCCGGCGGGGCCCCTTTTGGGCCCCTTTTGGGCCCCTTTTTAGGGGGCGAAGCTCCGCGGGAGCTCTATATTTGGGGGGCCCGGATTTTATTATAGTCTGCATAATTATAGAAATTTTGATAGTTAGGAATATATTTCCTACTCGCGTGCGGTAAAGTACACTTTACCGCACTCATTTGCGTGCCGTAGGGAGTACTTTTTCCGCACGATTTTTCGTTTTGAAAATTGTACTTTTCCGCACGATTTTTACTTTTACTGAAAAGTGTACCCATATTAAAGTTCGGGGGCCCCCTATTTGGGGGGCATAGGCCCGCGGGGGCCCCATTTTTGAGGGGCTCAGTCCCGCGGGCCCCTTTTTGGGGGGGGGGGGCGAAGCCCTGGGTGCTCCTTTTGAAGAGGGCGAAGCCCCTTATTTGGGGGCACGGCCCCTCAGGGCCCCCTATTTTGGGTGGCATAGCCCCGCGAAGGTAGGGAATCCTAACAATTTTTTTGGCCAATTTTGTTAGGTAAATAACTATTACCGTAATCAGTTGAGGAAAGTTTGAAAGTTTCACAAGAACTATTGTATCATTGAAATCCAATTTGAAGGTTTAAATATATTATCCATTTTCAGGATCATGGCGACATCATATTCTAGTTTTTCAACTAAGAATCAGAGGAGCCGGTCCATTGATTGGTCGACTTTCTGTGGCCAGGGCCAAACTAATCATCCAGAAGACTACTTTCAAGGAGACAAGTAAGTATACCTTGTAGGGTTACTGAATGTTGAAAAAACAAATCATAGATCTTCCACCAACTTACTATATTCAGTAGACATTCTGAGTGCACGTGCAATATATTGCCTCACATCATGTTCGTATATTCATAAAACTCCAAGACTGAAACAATTTGTCAATCATAAGCATGAAACGAGAGGTAAGACGGGCAAACATTTGGGGCAGGCTGTGAACAAAACATCAAAAAAATTGCGATCGTTCTCATATCTTGGGCCAAAAATGTACAATTTATTACCTCTAGAAATAAGGTCAATGCCAAGACTCAGTAGGTTTAATGACAGATGTAGAGTATTTATATATAATAATTTTGATAGATTCAGTTTACTATTCTAGCGATTAGCATCAATTGTTACACTATCTTTGGGTAGGTGTATGTATATATATAATAGGTATATGTTTATTAATTATTAATTGTAGTGTTATAAAGGGAAAGAGGGATATTTTCAAACAATGTTGCACACACATTGCACATACAGGTGGTCTTGTCTACCTAGGTGCAATCTAAACTATATTTAAGACTTCTTAATTGTAAGCTTCTAGAAATAAGTCACAGCTCTGTAACATAGGAAAATCCAGTAATATATTTGATTTGATTTGATTTATTTGCAATCTTTTTAGATTTGATCACTGTTCGGTTGATTGGGAATTTTACCACCAATGTTTGTTTCCTGATTGACCTTTTAAATTCTCTTTCAGATATTCAGAAGGTACAATTCAAGTACTTGAAAAATCTTGATGAGCTAAAAAGAGTCGACATCGATTCCCTTGCGGTGGTGTGCCGAAACTTTGGAGATTTCGCTGAGGAGGACAGAACCATAGTCGACTACCGTAATAAGCATTTGAGGACATGTACCAACGGCAAGATTTTGTCAGTGGTCCGGGAAATGTATCCAGAATTTGAGAACAAACGCGACGTGCTGGAATTCCAATTCCAAGTGGGAGTTGGTTTCAGCAACATCTACTTGTTGCTGAAAAATCCATCCAGTTTGGAGGAGATTGCTGAGCTCCACAACACAAACAAGGTCAAAGTGTTTTTGGAGAAGATGAGGCTGGCTTTTTTGGGGCTAGACAAAAAAACCAAAACCAGGCAACTAAACCCAATCGACAACGGTCGGTTCACGTTGCACGGGCAGGGCTGGAATGCGTACAGCCGGGAGCTTGCAAAACAGTTCCACGATGGAGATGGTACTCCATCAGTTTTATTTTATAAGTAGGTTTCCGTCTTTACATAATGTCTATTTATGCATATATAATTTGTTATTCTGTTTAGGTGCGCACACGGATTGAAGAGTGCCAGGTTCGAGAAATTGATGGGCGATTTGGAAGCGGCTATTGCGCCAGGGCGGACTGCGCTTTTCCATCAAATACACATAGGCCTCACGTTCCACGTTAATTAACAGGCAGTCGTTTGTCACTTTGGCAACACTCGACAGGCCTTCCAAGTGCACGACCCCGTGATGTTTTACGAAAAATTTGGACTCAAAAAAATTGGACACTTGTCTGGGATGCGCAATGTGTTTCATGGCATGAGCAAATATGTAACTTATGTCCAGGTAAGTTTCTTTTTTTTTTTTGGACCATTTCACTTACTTATTGATAAATTATAAATGCACAATTGCACAATATACAGTAAATGATCGTCAACAGCAATAAAACATTGTCGAATACTGCAAAAGCTCCTAGCTCTGAGTTAATTGCCTTATGTCTATATCTTTTTTCTTTATTTTTTATTTTATTGCATCTATTATTAGAGCTTCGTTAACAACATTCAATGTTTAATAACAATACAGTTGTTTGGGACTTACGTTTTATCGTATTGCAATTTGCGTAATTTAAACGCAACTTGTATATATGTCTTAAATTTGAAGTGTAAATTTCAATTATTAATTGCGCGTGAGAATGGCATTTCCATGGACTTTTAGCGCGGTACCGTAAAAGAGAGCAAGAGTGCGCTCTTGATTAAAGAAGGACAGAGATTGAGTAGCCGAAAATATGTGCTGTCGCTGTCCGAAAGATGAGAACGATTTTTGCCCGCAATCAAAACAGGGTACCGATTCTCAATCGTCAAGTCGATACGTAACGTCCCGACTCCCTGTAGAAAAGCAATGGGAAGTCGGTGTCGATAGGTTGCGACTAGAGGTTGAGAATCGGGGGGCAGAACCAATTATTTTAGTGCCTAAAACCCACGCAGTTTCGGGGTTAGTCCTTTATTGGTTTTGCCATTTATCGATTTTTAAAAAATTAGGGCAGACAAATAATATGCAATTTAACTTATTCAAATTCGAATTTAAATTCTAAATAAGCTATAAACCAAAATACTAAAATAGTCTGTTTGACAAAGCAAAACTAAAACTATCAAGTCAATCAATACACAAAATTAAATTAGGCATGAAACAATTTAACTCAAATTTAACTAAATAGATGGCTAGGTGGATATTAACAATTATTATTTATTATTGTGAAAGAACAAAAAAATTATTGTAAAAAATATTTAAACCTGAATAATAGTATATTATGTACCTAGGTAGAGAAGTTGGTCATTATATACCGAAAGCTTTTATAAACCGAGGCGCGCAGCGCCGAGGTTTATAATGCTTGAGGTATACAATGACTTTCTCTACCGAGGAATATATAGAATTTTTTTTACTACTGCTAGTAGAAAATTAAAAATTTGTTTAAAATCTGTGTTCTAATTATTTTTTGTGAACGCCCTCTTGAAAGTGCTGCCCTCTATCAACAGCTTATATAACTTCCTATGTACCTACAGAAACCTGTATTTTTTTTTCAAATTGACGTATGAAATTGAAATTGAACCAATAGAAACATGCCAATATCCTTGCGTCATGACGTCATTTTCATTATTGACCTAGGTATTTTTTCATTATTTTCATTATTAACCTAGGGAGAGAAATTCAATTTTTTCTTAGAAAAATAGATTGAATAATGTCTATTTCTCAGGTTAGTAGTAAAAAAAGATTATTATTATTATTATTATATGAGACTACAAAAATCTGACGAATTGAGTGCTGTTTTCAAATACAGGGTGGGGACTTTAACTAGAACTAATTCGCTAGAGCCTTCGGATGAAATATGAGGACAAAACGCAAAAACATGTTAATTAAGATTAAGCATTTGGCTAGTAGTATTTACATTATGTAACGAAATTTCACAACAAAAGATAAAGAGCTAAATTCTTATGATTATAATCTTACATTTTGTGTAATATATTCAGTACAAGAAATGTTAAAGTTCATAAGACTATCACAGTTTTTAATAAATTCAGGTAATTCATTGTATTGCTTTAATCCCTTATAAAAAATGCTATTCTGACTTAAACTAGAAGGTACTTAATCTATCCAAATAAGAGTTATTTCTGTATTTTGTGTTATATTCATGTATATATGGTATATGGTTTTCAAGATATTCGAATTTTATTGATTTTACTAAACATGGTTACAATGACAACTGCTCAAGGTTCATGACGCAATCCTCCTGAACACCATACATACATACATACATACATACGCAATCCTCCTGAACACCATACATTTTTGATTTGCAATAACCCCAGAAAAAATAATCGTTGATGGGTGCAAGATCGGGAGAGCGGGCTCGCCACAGTATTGTAGCTCTCGACCCAGCAATGAGACGGTTTGTAAAAGTATTATTGAAATGGTCCAGCATGAAACCCGTGTTTTGGACTGGACATCCATCTTGTTGAAACCATATTTCATTAAATCTAGGACCAGATAATCTTTTAATTTCTGAAGTTATCTGCCGTTGCTAAAAATCCAAATATTTTGGACCAGTTAAGTTAGCGTCAATGTACGGCAAAGTACGGCCCAATAATATGTTCTCCATGCAAACCGATTTAGACAGTTACCTTTTGAGGACGCTGGGCTCTGAGTTCAAAATACCTGTGTAAATTCTCCTTAGACCAATAACAGGTGTGACTAGGATTATGTCGACCATGGAGTTGAAATGTCGACTCATCTGTAAAGACAACTTTTCTAAGAAAATCTTCAATTTCATTTTTTTAATTTCATCATCAATGACAGTTTCACAAAATTTCATTCGCCTGATGTCCTCGCAGGATCAATTTTTTGGGAGTTTCGTACTTTGTACGAACGATCCTTTTTTTTCTGTGGCTTCCTCACCGTCCTTGTACTTGAGTCAATCTCGTGCGCAAGCGCACGAGTAGAAATAGTTGGAGTTTCCTTAACTGATGCCAACAACCAACAACATAATTTATTCGGCTTCTTTATCGTCATTATTTTCCTGGACGTCATTCCGTTTATGGTTTCGGGGAGAAACGCAACCGTATTTTTGAAAATTATTAACAACCTTAGAAACTTTCTACCTGGTTGTCGCCAGGTTAGCGCTTAATCGATTTGTCATTTTCTGACATGCGGACGCCTGCAAATTCGTCAGGTTACATCCTATATACCTAGTAGCTTGCCCCTCACTGTATATACAGTGTCGTCATTACTTAAGTGTGCAACATATGGGATTTTTTTTTAGTAATAGTACAATCAAAATACAAACAAGGCCAAAAGTTGGTGCATGTCTTATAATCATATTAGGTGCACTTAGAATGATTGCAAGTCAAACAGCATACAGGGTGGCTCAAAAAATATCAAAATTCTACAAATATTTACTTAAATAAAATAAAACTTTTGGAATTTAAGGAGAGTTTTTTTAATATGGCTATTATCATTAGTAATGTTTTAACTTGTTGAAAAAAGAAATTGCGACATTTTTAAGTTGTGTTGAATATCATTGCAACAAACATGAATTTTGTGATTCCATAAAAAATTAAAAATCTTAGTTAATTTTACAAATATGCCTGAATTTGAACAAAGTTATGTAAAATTGATTTGATTTCAATTAATTTTTGAAAGTATTAAGGGCGGAGATAAAAAATAACAAAAATATAGAAATTTTAGATTTTTTTTGAAAGAAAATAAAAAAAATCTTAGGAGGCTATGTTTTGGTATTTAGGCATATCTTTTAATTCCAAACAACTTTTCTCTATAACATTTTGCTGAATTTTCTAAAATAAGGGTACTTTACAGTACAGCTTTGATATTGTTTGAGCTACCCTGTATGCTGTTTGACTTGCAACCATTCTAAGTGTACCTAATATGATTATCAAACATGCACCAACTTTTGGCTTTGTTTGTATTTGGGTTGTGCTATTACTAAAAAACATCCCCATATGTTGCACACTTGAAAAATCACACTGTATATCCCTTCTTAAATTTTCTAAACCTAAAAAAGCTAAAATTTTCCCTAAATTCTTATTTCTAAAAAAGCTGAAATTTTCCCTAACAATTCAGTGCACCCTGTGCAATGTAACAGTACGATACAACCCTTGGCCGCTTAGCCTGATCAGGACCGAAATTTATTAATTAAATCCAAGGATTTCAAGATATAAAACTAAACTTATAAGTATAAAAAAACCTGTTTGATCCATGTCCAGCTAGGGTGAGTTCAATTAAAGAACCCTCATAAGAGGCACCATGAAGACATGCCAAAAGGTGCTGGAGGCTGCGAGCTGCACACTCTCGTAGATAAAATTGTAGTGGTTTCTGGTGACTGGCACCACTACAGTTGGAGCCCCTCGGTAGTTCCCTGAAAATCAAGGATCTGGAGACAAAATGAGAGGCTGAACCACGAACATATTGATAGAGGGCATCTCCCAGGCCGTCCAAATGCACTTTAAGCGGCGATGGTCTCAAATGAGGTTATGGAACTTTCTCGAAAACACAAGGAAAAACATTTCCTCAAGCACTAGGCCACTATGAGCATTTAAACTTTACTCATTTAAAGGTAGAAATCGAAGTAACTGAGAAAGTTTTGACTTTCTGAAGGGACGAGGGAGTAAATTATTATTATTTAAGGGACCAGTACGACTGTACCGTTCGAACACCTTCAGAAAAGTGCGTTCCAGAACGACATGGAGGAATGACATGACAGTTGAAATAATCATGAGAAGTTAGCTACGGTCTACGGAGCAACATACCACCTAAGGGTCTGTATACAACATTAACTTAACTTTAAATTATTTACATCTTATTATTGAACCTCAAATATAGCTTAAGCGGTAACATTCTTACAAAATAACAATAATAATAATAATAGTACATTATCAGCTGAAAACAGTATTAAATTTGGCAAGTAGCAAAATCAAGGTTACAACTGAAAGAGGTTGTCTAGTAAAAATACGTTTCAACAGCTAAGCTACGTCATCAACAGTCCCGTACAACCTGTTGTTCCAAGACATTTTTAAATAAAATTTACAACTAAATACCAAGTAGCTTTCAAACGCTACAATTTCTGTGCAAACTCTCCACTTCTCTTCGCTCTGCAAAAGCAAAACTGCGATGTTGTTCCTCTCTATTCTTACTCCGCACTTAACTTTCGCATTCCATCTTATTCTCTCAAACCTATTGCATTCAAGAGTATGCTCTGGCGTGGCGTGTCCTCATCGCCGCAGAACCAACATTGGTTTGTTGGTTGCTTTTTTATTTCC